TTTGCTTAAATCAAGCGATGTTACTTCTAATTCTAACACCAACCCTATCTGATATAGCGTTCATGGGTGTTCAACATGGGCCTCAAGCTGATTGGGTCCCGACATTTACTTTTAACGCAACTGTATATACAGAGTAAGATCTAAGACTTAAAAATAGAAAGTTAAAACTAAAACGATTAGACCTAAATTCAGTTTTTTATGATGTAGAAAATTACATACTATTAGCCTTTGAATATTCGCGTAACAAAAAGCATTGAATCAATACAATTGTGTTTTTCCTACAGTTTTTATGAATGTCTAGTTACGAGGTACGATAGCTGCATGATTAAATACGAATCATCTGTGAAAAATGTGACCATAATTGTGAAACCAAGCTCGTCAAATATTTCAGCACTACCTGTTTACAATTGCAAAAACAACGAGAGCGCAACTTCTATATTATGCACCAGAGAAAATCAATGTAACTGTACAATCGCTGCGTATGATTTTGCATTTGTATGGAATAAAGCGACAGAATACTTCTCTCATCCTTATTTAAACAACAGAACAGTAACTTGTGTTAATCGCAGTTACACTTTATATTTCAATAAATCTGACGTATCAACAACTACAGCGTGGACAAACGTTCAAAGCACACCATTAATCCTTCAAAGTAACTTAACTACGATTCTAAAATCAACATTTTCTACGACTAATAACTACTCATCTACTTTTGAATCTAAACAATCAACGTTTTATACGACGTATAACTACTCATCTACTCTTGGATCTAAAGATAGCAAACTTCCCATAATTCTTGGAACCATTGGAGGAGTTGCTTGTTTAGCTTTCATTTTTGTTGTTGCTGTGTTTGTAGTTAGACGTGTTCAGCTAAATAGAATTTTACTAAATGCGGATAATAGTTTATTGAAAAAGAGGAACCCCCAAAACAACACTGTTCCGATTAATACCATTTCGGTAGATAAGGACAGGAAAACACCAAATGACACAGTCACTGTTACACCCAACATCTTGACACAGATTAGCAATGATACTTTAGGTCATGGATTCAAATATTTTAATACTATTGTTGAGGACGATTACACTTGTATAGATGACAACGAACGTAACTCTCGTGTGATATCGGCTAGGATACATCCAGAAACAAGCAATGAAATCGATTCATTAAAAACAGATTACACTGACATCAAAATAACAAAAGAAAAGAATGTCATTTTCTCAACCAACAAAACAGAAACAAGGAAGATTAACAATGACGAAAGCTACAACTTTATCAGTGATGCAAAGGACAACTACTCTAGATTAGGACAAGATATCAGAAATGTTAACAACCCTTACGATGGGTTACTGGAGTTAAAGGAAGAACAATTAAGTGTTCCTCAACACGAGTTAACTCCTTACACTCTGGCTAAAGCTATACCAGGGGCGGCAACTCTACAGGTCATAGATGTCGGTGTTTCCAATGACAATCTACAGCCACTAACAGCAGCCAGCAAACACAGCGTCAACACGGAGTATAAATACGACACTCTGTCTAACACTGACATTAATTGAAATGTTTTCGGCTATACAGAAGTGAAAAAAAAAGACATTTTAAAAATGCTAAGTCTAAAAATTTGAGTTATGGTGCATATGATTTAGCCCTATATTTTTTCTTCGTATCTGGGATAGCAAAGGGTATACCATTTTATTGTAATTTATGCTCTTTTTAGCTATAACGCAAGTTAAATCAATATAAATGTAGCGTTTTTATTCAGCAACAAACTGGGGTGTTATTATTGAGTTACAAACTATTTTAAAAATAGAGGCGCCAAAACTTAAAACTTTCCATTTTTACTTTCTCGTATAAGTGAAGTATTATAATCGTGCACAAAAATCACATGAAATTTTGACAGTTTTCGCCGTTTTACACCTCAGTGCTTCATCATATACGGAGTATAGGGGACTTACTTTAATAGGGCAACAATAAAAAATCCAGATTTATCAAAATGTCGGTGTTTTATGAGTAATTGAGTCAGGAAAACTGGGTTTTGCAATTATGTTCGTGCGTGTGTGTGTGTGTGTGCGTATGTCTGTGAAAAAGATAACGTGTGTACCGTTACAGCTAGGTTGTTGAAATTTCATAAATAAATACTATCACAAATTTGTAGTTCTGTTTCAACTTTTAAACGATTTACAGTAAACGGAAGGGGAACTTATTCTGCTTTCAATTTTTCAAAAGCTTATAACTTCAGAACTCATCAATAAGTAAAAGATCTAATTCTCATGTCTATATCCCGAGTTGCCATCCCCCGTTGGGTTATATAAGAATCACCGAGTACGTTAAGGGGAGATCACTCCTTCTTTATTTAAAATGCATTTGATTAATTGCCTCAGACATAAAATTTAAAGCGTCAGTTTGTTTCACCGTGTAGCCTACGCTTTTGTATTGCAGTTTTTATCATATGCTTGTGAGATTTGATTCAGACTTACAATAGTAACATTTTTGACGTGTAACTTGCGTTTATTGAAGATGGTTTGATTATACATGAAACTACTACAACAAGTATAATTACAATTTTATTTTTAAACCTAATCTTCTTCTTCTTCTTCGTTCTTAATTGAGATTATGGTGGAGGATTCAGACAACAAGTCCAACTTCGTGAACAAACCGGACTGTGGTCTCCAGTACGGCAGGTGCCCCATATAATTTTTGCCTTGGGGCGACAGAACACGGGGGCCGGTTGGACGAAAAGTCTACGATGAGGGGTTCAAAACTGACCTCGACTGACCGGCGCCTTATATGAGTTATAAATCGAACAAAAATGTCCACTTAGGAACCTCTTCATAACTCCTTAGGTCGTAGACCGACCCTCGGGCGAATTAATTAAGCATTCAATCTATAATAATAGTTTCGCTGTCTGTCTGTCTATGTATCTATCTATCTATCTGTCTATCTATCTGACAAGAACGCTCTAGAGAAAACACAAGCAAATTAAAAACTTACACAGTGAAACGAAAGTGAAATATGACGTCATGTAGTAGAAAATAATATCAAGCCGGAGAATGCACACAGTAATATGACGTCATTGATTCTCGAGTAAACATTGAATAAAAAGGCAATTTTGTCTAATCTAAGTGGTTTGCGTGAAGAGTTTCTTTCATACAATTCTTCGGGTAGGAGCGAAGCCCCACCCCCGCGTAAGAAAGTCTGAGCCCCCCCCCCTCCCCAACTCAAAAGAAATGTCTTCATCGATACTCTATAATAAAATTACCGCCTAATTAATGTGTCTAATCTAAAAAGTGGTTTTCTTGCAATTTCTTAATGCAATTCTTCGGGTAGTGGCTAAGCGCGACACCAGTGTTTATTTCAGACTTTTTCCTCCCCGTATGGGGGAACTTTTTCTAATCTAAAAAGTGTTTAGCGTGCAGTTTTTTTTTCAAGCATCTCTTCCGGTTGGGGCGAAGCCCCGCCCAGATTCTTCCTTTAGTTTGTATGATCTACAGATGCGACCAGTGTTTCTTTCAGACTTTTTCCTCCCTGGAGAGGGGTGGGGGTACTGGAAATTTTCGGGGGCGGGGGTAGAATTTTCTGGGAGGGGGCGGACACTGGAAAAAGTATATAATTATATTTCGTTGAATGGGACGGTAGACATGTTTTGGAGTGTGTGTGTGGGGGGGGGGGGGGGGAGTTGCCTGAAAGAAACTCTTAATGCGCATTGTCATGAATGAGATTAGGTGCATGGTTCAGGGATATGCCTATGACTATATTTTGTATAAATTAAAGTACCGATTCTGGATAAAAATCTGTTTTCAATGTCATTTTTTGTTTCCGGTTAAATTGAATTAAAGTGGTGATTTTGGTTTTGGTTTTGGTTTTAGTTTAGAGAAAATAGTCAGCACTATCTACCTAGCGCCCGTTGTATCCTTCCTCAACGGGCAATTTTTCTCGTTCTCAATGTTTTCGAAAGCCTAAGCTAAGCTGGGCAGCATGCCTAGTCCTATTAGAAAAAGTTTAAGTAATCAAAAATGCATTAAAAATATTGTCTATATACCGAGCTGCCCCCTCCCTTCCCGCAGTGTTATATAAGAATATTCGAAAAAGTTTAGGGGAGATCATTCCCGGTTTATTTTATATTGTGATAGTCTAACAAACTTGTTATCGTTACTAGTCTAGATCTAGAGTGATAAACAAACTATTTTTCCATTGTTGCGTCCCCTTCTACAATTACATTCTTTACCCATTGTAAACACACATAATCCTGTAAAATATTCACCGTTATTGTTCATATTACAAGCAATATTTACAATGGTTTTATCATAATTTACAAATAAAACTGGGTGCAAGATTATTATGTTTTAAAAACGTTTAAGTTTCTGATTGATAACTCAGGCATATCGTCATAACAAAATAAATTGTAATTTGAACATATATTGACACATATTTTTAAACATTTTATTACAGTAATAAAAACAACCAAAAACAACAAGATCGTAGTAAGGATATATGTTGTTTTTTCTCTAAATTGTGTTAATGTATTTCATTTAAAAAGGAAATCGAAGTATAAAAATGTCGACGGAAAAAAAAATTGGATTTAATAAAACTAGTCCGTGCACTAGGGTTATACGCGTGTTTAGTAGCTCCGGTTGTAGGTAGCTTAATCCAAAAAATCTTGTCAAGGATTAATAATATTATGTAACACTGCCTCGGTTGGGATAAAATGTTATGGTCTAGTAGGATGATATAAAAATAGCCCGCGTTAAGCCAGAACTATTTTTAGATGTGTTTACCAGGTAGTAGATAGGGGACAAGGTAACAGTTCTCATAGTGGTAGACTAAGGGGAGTGGTATACCTGAACCCGGGATACGCAAATATTTGTTCGTGCGCACTGCAGGCATTTGATGTGATTCTGCAAGGGGACACACCAATCCTAACACAAACAGTAGCATAAACAACACTTCGATTGTGTAAGATAAACACCTTTTAATGACTTGTTTTTGTTTTTCATCAACCAGGAAGTAAAAAGTTACCACGATTTGAAAGATGCGAAACTTATGCTATGTATCTTATTTACCTTCTGATCACCGATTAGCATACAAATGGTTGTGGTTTAATAAACATTAAGCGAAAAGGATTAGTTGGGTACATATTGTACATATACGAAGTAATCTGTTGTATTGTTAATTTATTGCAAATATTTTATACAAAATAAGTACGCCAGACCAAACAATCTTGAATTAAACAAAGTGAATGTATACATCTCATTGAGAATACACAAACAATATTTTAGTATGTGGTTGTTCTTGTAAAGGACATATTTATGTGCATTTATATACTGTTTGCTATTGTATGCTACTTTATTGCAAACCTTAAGTTTAAACGAATCTGATTAGTCGTTTTAAATAAAATCTCAGCGACCAAAATTGCATTTTATAATTAATACTTTTTCATGCCTCAATACATAGAATACAAGGAAAAAAAACAGTATTAGTTATGGAATATCATGCAGTTAATATATTGTTACATTCAAATCAATAAAGTGAATACATCAACATCTAGTAATATACAAGCATCCGATTATTTTGCCTTAATATTGGTTTTGCCAGAAATCTTTAACAGTTGTGGTTCTGGTCTCGCTTTTACAGGAACTAAACAATGGTGTTGCTTAAAAAATAGAAAATACAAGAAAAACACTTCATACAATTTTGCGTGAAAGATTTGCAAATTACTTCCTTTTGGCATCCTAGGTTATTATTCTTCATACAAGGGTGTTACAAATTACAAGATTAGACAGTGTTAAACATACTAATAGTTTTGCTCATGTTTGTTCATAAGGCATATTAAATATAGTATCATTTTACACATCTAACAACCCTACATATCGTGGAGAGTACTAGGGTTACATTTTATAGATGGTTAACCCATATTTTTGGATTTCACACGCGACTTTCTTTTTCAAATTTCGCATCACCAAATGTATTTTATTTAGTGTTACTGATAGGCGTAGTGTCCTGATCGCACATTGGCTTTGCCTGTTGTTGTGTATTGCTACAGAGCTTTAAAAACTCTTAGTTCTAGAGTAGCCACCCTTGGTAGAGATTTATCCCTTGTTAGGAAGCAAGTTATTGTTCTTGATTATTTTCGTTAACCCATAGTACGCGGTTTAGAAATCTCTTGTTTCGTCCCTAATTTAGAGTAGCCGTCTCGAGAGTATCCTTTTTTATCATCAATGATTAAGTTGTAACTAGCATCAATATTTTTCTTCCTTGTTATTGTGTAGTCAGTTGAGATATCACAACCTCGACCATAATGGTTGTACATCTTTCATTGATTATACAATATTTTGTTTGTTTTGATGTTAATGTAACTTGTTTGTGAAGTATCGGTTACACAATTTCCTTCTGAGTGGCTGGAAGTTGTTGGTGACACGTGCAAGTTACGATCGTTGTTGTCTAAACTACTATAATCGTGCTCAGCAGTAGTATTGAAATATGTAAATCCATTGTACAAAGTATTATAATCATTGTCACTATGTGTGCAAACGTTATGATCTCCGGCGTTGTCTTTGGATAAAGCTCTGTCAATGTTAGGATTTCTTGTTGTTGATGAATTGCCAGTTGTAGGAGATGATTTTAGAAGCGATTGATTTTTTCGCACACGTCTGTGTACGATCACAGCAGTTGCAATAATGGAAGCTAAACAAGCGATCCCTCCAATGGTACCAATAACTATAGGCAATTTGTCGTCTTCAGATTCCAGAGCAGAAGAGTTGTTAGTGGTGGAAGAAAATGTTGATTTTAAAAGCGTAGACGTCGTATGTGGAGGATTCGATTGTGTAACGTGTACGATTGTCCTCTGTGTTGTTGTTGTTAATTCATCAGATTTATTGAAGTAGAAAGTGTAATTGCGATTAACACACGTTATTGTTTTGTTGTTTAAATAAGGATGATATAAGTATTCTCCAAAATTATTCCGTACAAAAGCAAAATCATAAGAATTGATTATGCAGTTGCATTGATCTTCCCTAGAGCATAATATAGAAGCTGTGCTCTCGCTGTTTTTGCATGTGTATACAGGTAGTGCTGAAATATTTGACGAGCCTGACTCCACAATGTGGGTCACATTTTTCACAGATGATTCGTATGTAATGAGACAGCTATCGTACCTCTGAACTAGACATTTATAAAAGCTGTAAAAGAAACAAAATTGTATTAATATAATGCTTTGTTTTCAAAGATTACTCGGATCTAAAATGGCAGTTATCGTACTTTGTAACCAAACATTTATAAAAACTGTAAGTAAAACAAAATCGTATTGATAAATTGTTTTTGTGATGTGAATATTTGAAAGCTACATGGATGTGTTATTGTACTTCATAATAAACTTTAATGTAGTCCTAACTGTTTTAGTTTTAGCCTTGTATATTAAGATTGATTTAGATCTTACTTGGTATATGTAGTTTCGTTAAAAGTAAAGGTCGGAACCCAACTATATGTAGGCGCTAGTTGAACACCCATGAACGCTAGGTCGCATAATGCTGGTACCAGAATTAGAAGTAACAACATCTGAGTTAAACAAATCCAGGAAGAAATCATTCTAAACAACATGGCGGTTACCTAAAGTGGGAATACAAATTATAAAATTAGTTTAGTAGATGAAATGGATTATAATTTTAAATGCGAAGTCTATACCCACTATAACCTAATTTGATCAAAATGACAATAAAGTGAAGAAGACACAAATAATAAGTAGATTGCCAATATTCAAATCCTTTTATATGTCTATATACATTTATCTACAAACACTTAACCTATACTTACGTTTCTGTAGATCTTTTTCTACGTGACGAAAATTAAGATCAACTTGAACTGTTATGTATACGGTTCTAGATTACAAAGCACAAGTTGGTAATTTAAAAAGAACTGGTTGAAAGTTTAAACACTTTAAAAACAAACATCAACTTAGGTTATTAATGAAAAATTGATTATAACCAACCGCGAGAAGGAACTTTCAACACAGTAACAACAGGCAGAGAACACCAGGTAAACATGTTTAAGTTGAACAATGTTTTTTTTGTCCTGATCAGAATTGTGAACACACGACTTGACTGCAAGGAATATGAAGCGAAACAAAGAAACCAGTGTTAAACTTGCTAACGTTATCTCTTAAGTGGGCATAGCTAATAAAACTTTGCGAAACATTGTATCCAAACGTCACTAGTCAACCCCCTCTTACACACCTGAACAGGATTGTGACTACACGACTGGGCTACCAGGAACAGGAAGCGAAACGAATACACCAGTGTTACTGTTACGTTTGATAAAGTTATCTCTGTCTTCGCTGCATTTACATATCATGTTGACACTTATTTTTTACTCAGCTTTTTTACTTCTGTTTACACTAGAAGCCTAAGGTATGTTTTGTAAGTTATGTTTGAAATTCAAAATGTTCATTTTAAATGACACCATATTTCCATATTTTTGTATGTAGAACACATATGCACACAATAAGTTTTTTTAAGGGCAGGTTAAACCCCCAAATTGAAATTTAGGTGTTAGGACTTTTTTGAGTGATAAGGAAGTTGTAACTAGCATAGTATATGAAAAAAATGCAAAAAAATCACTAAAAAGTTATGGTTTTGAGAAAATATTTTCTAAAAAGTGTCATTTTTAGGGTAAAATAGCTCAAAATTAGCTCTCATTGAAATCAAAATAACACAGCTTCTGTTTGTCAGAATAACACAAATCTTTAATATAGTGTAATATACGCAATTACAAAAAAGATGAACTAAAACAATTAGAAAATAATAAAAAATGGATTTTAGCCAAATTTTTTAAAAGTGAGACCTAAAATTTTTCCAAAAAGTAGGGAGTAGACTTAGCTTTATTTTTATAAAATGAGAAGTTTCAAAGATATAGACATTCTTTTAGTTCAACTTTACAAGCAGTGTTTAGTAAACATGTGTGCAAAATTTCAGCTAAATATCTCAAGTAGTTTTTGAGTTATAGTGATTTAACTGGTACAATTTTGTTGAAAAGTAACATTTTGAGAAAAACGCTAAATAGTGAAAAATATACTAAATTTGAAAAAAACGAGAAAAAACGAAAACTATACCAAATAAGTCATTTTTAAAACCTCCCAGTTACATAAATTGCATCTGGAGCCTCTTACTGAGCAATAAGAACATCTATTTTAGTTAGTTTTTTATTTTTATGTTGCTAAATGTTGCTTAATATAGGTTAATTGCGTCATTAGTCTCATTAATTAAAAAATTATAAAAAATACTAGCAATACGAAATTTTGCAAAACGATTATACAAAAATGTTCAGAATTGAATGTAGTTTCAGAAACAATAGATTTTAAAAAATCAACATTTCTGACTTAAATATGTATTTTGGGGGGGTTTAACCTGCCCTTAAATCTATGTAATAATACTAAATTTAAAAAAAAAAATTTTAAAAGCGATAAAATAATATGGTTACATTATAAAAAAATTAAAGCTATCTGGTAACTATGGATTACATTTTCATATTTTGATATTGAATATAAGCCGTTGAAAAGCCGTTTACAATTAATTTATCAATTCAAATATTTTAAATAGCCGCCCTTAACCCCCTCCTTGAAGTCAACTAGAATTACTAGAGTGAGTTAAACAACGAATGTCATAACGATTTTTCCCATGATAAAATACGCATTAGTGGTTAATGGCGTATAGCCTAGTATTGTATTTATATTTACAAATTTAACATTCCCTATCATCACAACAATCCAAATATACTAATACAAGCCGACCCGCGGCGTAGCACATGCCGCTATTTAGTTAAATATGTTAAATCAGTAATTAAAACTAATTATTTGGTTTTGAAACTAAGGAAATAACAAGATTAATACCAGCGATCAATCGAGTGGTCGTCACAGTTAGTTTATTTCTAGCCTGCTTGACGAGGTATGGGCAGATAATTAATATATATATATATATATATATATATATATATATATATATATACATATATATATATATATATATATATATATATATATATATATATATATATATATATATATATATATATATATATAATTCTCTTCTGGGAGACGCTAGAAAACAAGCTTTAAACGCGCTACCTACCACCCCCACCCCTACATGGTCTGGTGAGCTGTAGTTCACTCTAAATGTTTACAAACAGAGCCGGGTTTAGTGATGACTATTAGGGGCAGATAATTTAGTTTGAAACGATTTTAAACGTAGGGGAGGGGGGGGGGGACTAAGTGGAGTTTACTTTAACGGAGGGGGGGGGGGGTTATCGTCCTTAACGAGCTACTTATAGTGTTTTAAAGAAATATTTTCAGTGGCAGCGTTGATAGTGTCGAATTCACAAATTATGAATAACTGAAAAGTAGAAAAAACAACTAAATAGCGGCGTATGATACGCCGCGGGTCGGCTCGTATATATATAATTCTCTACGTGGGGACCATACAAGACACCACCAAGTAAGGCTTGCCGTTCCTACCCCGCTCTCTAGGCTTATCGCTAGCGCCCACAGCCCACCAGTCTGGTGAGCTGTGGCTCACCCCGAATGTGTACAATGTGACGGCTATTAGGGGCAGATAATTCAGCTTTTAAACAATTTGAAACCACGTTCTCCTTGATCTGTTCATTGTCGTCTGTAAACTGTCGTCATAGACGGCCGCTTTCATGGAGGTGGAGGGGGGGTGGGTGAGGAGGGAGGGGGAAGAGAGTGGGTAGTATCGAATTAACAAATTATGAATTACTGAAAAGTAGCAAAGAATACAACTGAATAGCGGCGTATGCTTACGACGCGGGTCAGCTCGTACTTTTTACAAGCTTTTATAAAGATAACAAGCAACTGGCCGGGTTTTAATGCAAACAAGCCGACCCGCGGCGTAGCATACACCGCTATTTAGTTGTTTTATTTTTATTTTCAATAGTTCTTAATTTAAGAATTCGACACAACTTCCCCTCCCCTTACAGACGACAATGAAAAGATTAAGCAGAACTCCTTAACTCCCCCTACTTTTAAATTGGTTAAAAAACAAAATTATCTGGCCCCAATAGCCATGATTAATTCGACCCGGCTCTACGACTGTAAATATTCGGCGTGAACCACAGCTCACCAGACTGGTCAGGGGCGAGGGTGGTAGCGATTTGGTCTTTTGAGCATGCCTGGAGAGGGAGGAAGACGGCGTCCGTATACGTAGTGATGTCCCGCATGGTTGGTCGGCGTAGAGAATTATATAAATAGATAGTTGCGATATTATGCCTGTCTGTCTTTTGTCTGTTGGGAACGCTCTAAAGAAAACACAAGGACATTTAAATGATGCATTATGAAAGACCGTGACGACACAATGAACATATAGAAAGTTTTCAAAACGAAACGAAATATGTATAGTTCTAGAGCCGGAAAAGTATGCACAATAAAATGAACGTCGTTGATTCTAGAGTAAACACAATAATAATGATATCATCGATACTTGATGATAAAGACACTAAAATTACCTTCTAATTTATTTTTCTAATCTTAAATGTGGTGTGCATGCAGAGCTTCTTTCAGGCACCTCTTTGGGTAAGAAAGAGGAAGAGCCCCCCCCCCCCTCCGTCCACCCTAGCACTCCGTCCTCCTCCCCCTGCTGAATAACGTTTACACCCCCCCCCCATACACGGAATGAAATACAATTTGTACAGAAAATATATTCTTATACCAGGATCATCCTCCTCCCCCCCCCCGAAGAAAACATGTAATGCCCTCTCTCCCCCGGACAAAAAAAGTCTGAAAAAAACACTATATGCATGATTGAAAAGTAGAAGAAGAGTGTTTCTTTCATACTTGTTTCTTCGCGGAGGGCGGATGGGCATAAATTTTACTGGGAGCGGGCGGGCACTCGTAAAAGCATATTTTCTGTATAAATTATATTTTGTTATAGGGAGCAGCGGAAGTTCATCGGGGGGGGGGGGGAGGGGGGAAATGTATAGCCGAATAGTTACCTGAAAAAAAAAACTTAATTTTGTCAAGTTTGAGCTTAGGTGCAAGGTTTAGGGATATGACGACGACTATATCTAGTATCAATGTGCAGTAACTACGCATAGTTCAAAGTTAAATCCGGTTAAAATGGCGATACTGGAATAAAAAATTACGTTTTCAATTACATTTTTCGTTTCCTGTTAAATCTGAAGTTGAGGTGGTGATTTTGGTTTTAGATTCGGTTTAGAGAAAAAGACAACACTATCATCTTGGCGCCCATTGTATTTCTCCCTCAACAGGCTATTTATCTAGTTAATAGAGCGACCTGGGTCGTATTGCCAGCTATTGTTGCGAGTGTTTCTTGGAGAACTAGAGAAGAACGTGCAGAACAAAGAAGTTCCCTGGTTATAACGCACCAGTGTGGCAAAAGTGATCCCGATTCTTTCAGGCGTTTAGATTTCTATAAAAGACAATGTCAGTCCGTCCGCCCTTCGCAAACATTATTTACTTTTTAAATCTATATAACTATATACCTATCTATCTATCTATATATATATATATATATATATATATATATATATATATATATATATATATATATAATGAAGAAAGTAAAATAACCTGCAACGCCATATATTTTGCCTGCTTAGTGTGTGTATCTGAGAAGCCTAATAATAACGGACTGAATCTTTATTTTAAACGAGGATGTGTTTGTTGAGCTCAGTAATATGCAGTAAAAGTTTACTTAAATAGTCTTCTGAGATATATTATTTAGGTTAATAATTATATCAGAACCAACAAAATAAATTTATTTTTGACGGAATATTCGAATTTAGGTGATATTATCGATAACGTAAAATAACTGGCTAGCTGCTAACATATTTTTTTTTTTGTTTTATGTTTTTCTATTCTAAGAATCTTGTAATAAATAATATTCTAGAAACTGTTACTGCTTGCTCTTTTCATTGTTGCGTCCCCTTGTATAATTTCTTTTGCTGCTCATAGTGTAGCCTACACATACAATCCACCTAAATTTTTGTTGTTTATACTAAAAGCAATATGTATTATGTTTTTATAATAATATACATATAAAACATGAATTATATTTCAAAAACTTTTAAGAAATTGATCGATAATCCAGACATATCGTCATAGGTATAAATATAAGTACACAAAAGTTATTGTAATGTAAACATACACAAAAACTTTCTCGAAATTGTATTACTTTTTAGCGCAATTTCCATACTGACAATTGCGATTATTAATTCGTTATTTCTGGATGGATGGATGGATGGATGTGTGTCCGCAGCTTTAAGTCGTATCTCCTCCTCAACTAAGCAATATCGAGGACTAGTTCCAAAGCAAATATGATAAGCAAGTTCCGTGGATGATTGTGGGCCAAAAAAATTCCCGGAATTCCTTCCTGGATTTCCCGGAAAAGCCAAAAAACCTCGAAAAATGCAGTTTTTTGCCCATATCTCGGCACCCAGACTACTTAGCGACTTGAAACATTTACCAATCGATTCCTGCCATAATTTAGAACAATATTGCCGAAGAAAGTTTTCAAAAATATCCTTTCGTTCGGTCACAAAAAATTAATTAAGGAAATTGCGCTTAAATTGTCACTAGACTTTTTATTAACTTGCTTATGAATTTCAAAGTAAATCGTAATATGAAAATGCCGAAGATAAAAATTAGAAACAATTAAAACTAGTATATACTAGGAAATACGCGTGTTTAATAACTCAGGGTGTGGGGGGGGGGGGGGGGGGGGGTAGCTTGATAAAAAAAATCTTGTCAATGAGAAATAATATTATGTAACACTAACTCAGTGGGGATAGGGGATGTTAGCCCGTGAAAATCCCTATTTAATTTTGGGTTTGTTTACCAGGTAATAGATAAGGGACAAGGTAACGGTTCTCAGATTGGTAGACTAGGGGAATGGTGAACCTGAAACCGGGATAGGCAAATAGTTTTTCTTGCGCACTGCAGACACGTGATGTAATTCTAAAAGGGGGCGCAACAATAATACAACTGACACAGTGGCGGAACTAGAAAAAAGGGGCTCCCCCGCAAAGAAAAAAATAGGGCCCCCTATATATATATATATATATATATATATATATATATATATATATATATATATATATATTTATAAATCTATATCCTAACTGAGTAATTAAGTCTACTTCATTGCAATAAATAACCATTCTGAGAGAACAAACCAGACAAATTTAGTCCAAACTCATATAGGGTTAGAAATAATCATGGCCACTACTAGCATTGCTGCTCAAAAATATATAAAGACGTAAGCTTGATTCGTGAATGGTTTCTCGCGTTATGTTTATTTTTTTCATTTTTGGCTTTTATAATATCAATTTTGAAAAAAATTGATTTATATAGCTATACCATTGTTTATTATAACAAATTTAAATAACTATTCAGAGAATCAATTGCTTTTTAATATACATAGTACAAAACTATTTAAATGAGCTTCGATGGCATACCTATTTTAAAGAAGGGCAGTAAGTCATGGAAGTAGTGTGAATGTTTGCCTACCTTTCAAACTATAGCTCTTGTAGATTTTAAAATATTTTTCTACGCAACAATCTCTGCTATAGTAGACCTGTATTTTTTTTTATAAAACCACTTTCAAGATGCATGAAAAACATAATTTTTGAAAAAAAAATTCATTGTTTTTTGGTCGGAACTGGGCCCCTAAACGTCCTGGGCCCCCCGCATTGCGGGGTCTGGCGGTATGGTAGTTCCGCCCCTGAACTGACAGAATTTTAACCAACATTTAATTTGTGAAGGATATGCAATTTTCAATGATGTGTCTGTGTTTTTCATCAACAAGGATGTAAAAAGTTACCACGATTTTAAAGAGGCGAAACGTATGCTATGTATGTTATTTACCCTCTGATCAAAGATTAGTCTTAAATAATAAACACTTATTCATACAATACACAAAAAGTTGTGGTTTGATAGACATTAAAACAAAAGTAGTTTACATACTGTACACATACAAAGTAATCTGTTGCATTGTTAATTTAATGGAACTATTTTTGTATTAAAATAAATATGGCAAACAAAAACAATCTTTATTTAAACAAGTTCCATTTTAAATCTCATTGAGAAGACACAAACAATATTTTAGTCTCTCTGTGTTCTTATTAGGTGGGTAGTGGGTGTGTATGAGTTGGTTACGCGATGTGTGTGTATGTGTTTTTGTTCGTGAATGTAAATTGTTTTGTATATATTTAAGTGGGGACGCGTGCTCAAATGGTAGAGCGTTCGACCAGTAACCCAAAAATCTTGAATCGTTAGACGTCCATGCATCCACCCAACTCTGTTGGGCACCTAATTAACGTTATGACAGTTAAACCGGTTTGTCATAGTGCCGATACACACTAGGCCGAGGTCACAAAAACAGATATATTCTATTTAAATTACACCATGGACCGTGCTTATTTTATATAATACTCGATTGTATATGTTTATGTTTACACTTTTATACTGTTTTCTGTCGTATGCGATTTCATATGATTCAGACCAATTACGTTACACCCATCCAAAAGCATTATATTATTTATATTACACATCTAACAGTCATACAAACCATGGGCAGTGCCAGGGTTAGATTCTAAGATACTTTATCTCCTTGTATTTTTATTTTAGAAACGATTTATTCTTCTTTTGTATTGTTTCATTTTGCATAGCCAAATCTATCTCTGGTAGTGTTAGTGATAGGCGTAGTTGTGTATTCGTTTGTGATATCACACCATTTTTCATCATGACTCAATGTATTTCATTGATTTAAACGAAATTTTTATTTTGATGGTTATGTTATACGTATTTTATGTATCAGTTATACAACTTGCTTCTGATTGGCTTGGGGCTTTTGAGTCAAGTGCAAATCACGATCGTTGTTATCTAAACAACTATAATCGTGCTCAGCAGAAGCAGTGTTTCTTCCAGACTTTTTTCTCCAGGGGGGGGGGGGGCACTTGAAATCTTCGGGGGGGGGGGGGGCGGTAAACTTTCTTCGGGGGGGGGGCGGACACTGTTAAAAGTATATATTTTCTATATAAATTATATAAATTTCATTTCGTTCGGGGGGGGGGGCGGTAAAATTTTTTAGATGAAATATGTAAATCCATGGCACACAGTATTAAAGTCATTGTAACTCAGCGTAGTTTTAGCCTGGATTGATCTATTGCGTTGTCTTTAGTTGGAGCTCTGTCATTGTTATATGCTGGTAGATGAATTACTAGCTTTAGGAGATTATTTAAGACGCGTTTGATTTATTTACACTAATGTGTACGATCACCGCTGCAATGAGAGATAAACAAGCAACGCCTCAATTTTTTTCCAAAAACTATAGGCAGTTTGGTGTCGTCTCAGATTCGATATTTGATGAGTTGTTAGTGGAAGTAGAAAAATGTTGATTTTTTCTTCTTTGTTCTTCTTCGTTCTTAATTTTTAGTGTTGGAAGGGATCAAACCTTATCTGCCAGAGGGTTTGAACTCAAGACGATTTCGAAATTATCAACCATTAGCTTTTTACCAACTCGACCTCGTCTCCATCACAATTGAGAATACGTGTCAACTGGTTATGCGCCATTGAGGCCTTTGTCTCTGATTTCAGCCTGCTTTTCTTTTTGGATTAGCGTCCATAGCCTTTGTCCAACCAAGAACAAACTACATGACAGCAGTTGTTTGATTTTGGAGTTGTCTCTCCTAGAAGAGTGGCTGTCCCCAGCTAACGAGCCTCCTCTGCAAATATGCAAATATTTATACATATATTTGCATATACATATATATATACACACACACATATATATATATATATATATATATATATATATATATATATATATATATATATATATATATATATATATATATATATATATATATTATGTTTTATTGGAAAAATAATACATTTCTTAAACCAGGACAATATTGGGTATTTGCACACTTGCATGATTCATAGATAATTAGTGCAAAATTAGTGCAAATATACAGCGTCTCGAATAAAAAGCAACAATTCTTAATATTAAGCCCTGTAAAAATTCGAAGAGGTGAAGTTGGGAAAACGCATTAACATAGCTAAATTAAACTGAAAACTCTAAATAACTACTGATGCAGTTGGTATTTTCATTTTTAGCTGAACTCAGATTAAGTATTTAAATGAATTTTACTCCTAGACACGTGAATCGACTGGTTAGTAAAATACTGATATATTTAAAGAAATATTAATTTTTTAGCTGCGTTTCAAGTACAAATTGTACATTGAATTTATGAACTAGCTAGGAAGACCTACATAATAACCTAAGTAAAGGTTAAGTGGGCATAGCTAATAAAACTTTGCGAAACATTGAATCCTACCGTCACTAGTCAACCCCCTCTTACACACCTGAACAGGATTGTAAAAATACGATTGGGTTACAAGCAACAGGAAGCGAAACAAATGTATCAGTGTTACGTTGGGTAAGGATATTTCTGTCTTCGCTGCATATCAGTATCACATTGACAGTTTTTTTGGTCTCGGCTGGTTAAGTTTTTTTTTACACTAGTTGCATAAGGTATGTTTTATAATTTATGTTTAAAATTCAAAATGTTCATTTTTAATACCACATTTTGTTTATATTGATCACTTAAACACACAACGTTCAGTCGATGTACTTTAAGTTCTTCGATATTGTGTACAAAAATAAATATAGCCTATCTTGGGTGTGAATATGTATTTAAAAAATAATAATGCAAATTAAATCCACATAAGCTACTTACATTTATAAACACGTTTTTCCTACTTCAGATACCGACATGTTGTCTAAGAAGAAATTGTCAAGGCTTTGCTTAAATCAAACGATGTTACTTCTATTTCTAACACCAGCCCTATGTGACCTAGCGTTCATGGGCGTTCAAAGTGGGCCTCAAGCTTATTGGGTGCCGATTTTTACTTTTAACGCAACTTTATATACTAAGTAAGTTCGAAGCCTTAAAAAATAGAAAATTAAAACTAGAACAGTTAGACCTAAATTCAGTTATTTTATAATGCAGAAAAGCACATACTATTTGCCTTTGAATATTCGCGTAACAAAAAGCATTGAATTAATACAATTTTGTTTTTTCAACAGTTTTTATGAATGTCTAGTTACAAGGTACAATAACTGCCTGATTAAATACGAATTATCTGTGAAAAATGTGACCGAAATTGTGGAGTCAGGCTCGTCAAATATTTCAGCACTACCTGTTTACACATGCAAAAACAACGAGAGCACAACTTCTATATTATGCTCTAGAGAAGATCAATATAACTGTGCAATCGTTTCATTTGTTTTTGCATTTGTTTGGAATAAAGCGACAGAGTACTTCTATCATCCTTATTTAAACAACAGAACAGTAACGTGTGTTGATCGCAATTACACTTTATATTTCAATAAATCCGACGTATTAACAACTACAGAGTGGACAAACGTTCAAAGCACACCATTAATCCTTCCAAGTACCTTAACTACGATTCTAAAATCAACATTTTCTACGACTAATAACTACTCATCTACTCTTGAATCTAAAGATAGCAAACTTCCCATAATTCTTGGAACCATTGGAGGAGTTGCTTGTTTAGCTTTCATTATTGTTGTTGCTGTGTTTCTAGTTAGACGTGTTCAGCAAAATAGAATTTTACTAAATTCGGATAATAGTTTATTGAAAAAATGCAACCCCCAAAACGACACTGTTCCGACTAATACCATTTCGGTAAATAAGGACAGGACAACGCCAAATGACACAGTCACTGTTACATCCAACATCTTCACACAGACTAGCAATGATACTTTAGGTCGTGAATTAAAATATTTCAATACTATTGTTGAGGACGATTACACATGCATAGATGACAACGAACGTAACTCTCGTGTGATATCGGCTAGGACACATCCAGAAACAAGCAAAGCAATCGATTCATTAAAAACAGATTACACTGACATCAAAATAACAAAAGAAAATACTGGCCTAATCTCACCCAACAACACAGAAATAAGGAAGACAAACTATGATGATAGCTACAACTTTATCAGTGATACAAAGGACGACTACTCTAGATTAGGACAAGATATCAGAAATGTTAACAACCCTTACGATGGGTTATTGGAGTTAAAGGAAGAACAATCAAATGTTCCTCAACACGAGTTGTCTCCCTACACTCTGGCTAAACCTATACCAGGGTCGGCAACTCTACAGGTCATAGATGTCGGTGTTTGCAATGACAATCTACAGCCACTAACAGCAGCCAGCAAACACAGCGTCAACACGGAGCATGACTACGACACTCCGTCTAACACTGACATTAAGAGAAATGTTTTCGGCTACACAGAAGTGAAAAAAAGGACATTTTAAAAATGCTAAGTCTAAAAATTTGAGTTATGGTGTATAAGATTTAACCCTATGTTTTTTCTTCGTATCTGGGATAGCAAAGGGTATACCATTTAATTGTATTATGCTCTTTTAGCTATAACGCAAGATAAATCATTATAAATATAGCGTTTTTATTCAGCAACCAAAATGGGGTGTTATTATTGAATTACAAACTATTTTAAAAAATAGAAGCTCGAATCTACTCGACTTTTTAATAAAAAAAGACATCTGCCTATTTTATCAAAATAACAAAAAGTGTAAAAATGTATCAGACTACTTTGCAACTGTGAAGTATTTTGTCCAGCATTATCATTCAGGATACGATTATTTTAAACCATAGTTGAGTTTTTGTATGTGTGTATTGAGAATATCATGTTTTTACTATTCAGTGTTTATCTATTATCTAAATGTTAACAGTATACTAAAGATAAAATTCGATTAGTGTTGATTATAGGTGAAATTGTGCATCCTGGTTGAATGCACAAACAGGTCAATATAAGACGTGACATATTTATATCCGACACATTTATAGTGCTGTTTCTGTGTTTACAACTATCTACATAAACTTAAAACTTTAGTTTCCATTTTTACATTCTGGTATAAGTGAAGTATTATAATAGCGCACGAAAACCACATGAAATTTTGACAGTTTTCGCCGTTTTCGCCGTTTTACACCTCTGTATTTTATCATATACGGAGTATAGGGGACTTATTTTAATCGGGCAAAAATTAAAAATCCAGATTTATCAAAATGTCGCTGTTTTATGAGTAATCCAGTCGGGAAAACTGGGTTTTGCAATTATGTCCGTGTGTGTGTGTGTGTGTATGTATGTTTGTGAACACGATAACTTGTGTACCGTTACAGCTAGGTAGTTGAAATTTCATAAATAAATATTATCTCAAATTTGTAGTTCTGTTTCAACTTTTCAGCGATTTACAGTAAACGGAAGGGGAACTTATTCTGCTTTCAATTTTTCAAAAGCCTATAACTTGAGAACTGTTTAAGATATATGAACGAAATGTCATCTATACGTACAAGATCTAATTCTCATGTCTATATCCCGAGTTGCCATCCCTCGTATAAGAATGTTCGAGAAAGTTTAGGGGAGATCCCTCCTGTTTTATTTAAAATGTATTTGATTAATAGCCTCAGACATGAAATTTAAAGTGTCAGTTTGTTTTGTCATGTTCACTTTTGTATTACAGTTTTTATCATATGATTGTGAGATTTGATTCAGATTTTCAATAGTAACATTTTTCGACATGTAAATTTCATTCATTGGAGATGGTTAGATTATCTGTATATTACATCTATCTTAATACTACTAACACTCAAGATTGTTTACATGTTTAAATATTTATTTGTTTGGGCAGGTGAAGTAGAGTTGAGTAGGTCACCTGTGACATCAGTATATGTAGGGATAGTGTGGTCAGACCAATGCTCAGCCGAAATCGGTTTTTTTAAAAGATCAAAATAACGTCTTTTTGAAAGTGGTATCTGTTTTTTTTTGTGACGATAAGTGACAGAAGTGATGTTTTTTATGGATGACCCCAAAACCCACAGTTATCCAAGGGATGACGGGTAAGTCTAGTACATAATACTAATACAAAACGTATTATTTCAATTTTATTTTTAAACCTAATAATTTAAATGTTTTTTTTTTTGCAATAGTGTTTTAGTTTACTGTGGAGGTTAAAAAATATAGACAAAATAGAATAGAAAATAAATATTACAAGCACTCTGGAGGATATGTATAGTCCAATGAGAACCATCAAATCAGACATATTTCCTTTATAGTGGCTCCCGGTCTAAAATCCTGGACATAACCCCCTACCCCCCTGATATAAACGCCCCGATACTTAAAACCACTAGACAAAAACCCCACACACATAAACCACCTGGATAATGGCCCACTTTTTAAAAAAAATATTTTCTTTTTTTCAGTGCGTTTAAAAGCTTGGTCCAAAAAGGTTTATTTAAATGTGTTTCGTTTTCATATTTTGATAGTCTAACAAACGTTTAATCGTTACTGGTCTAGATTTATAAACAAACGGTTTTATCATTGTTGCGTCCCCTTGTATAAATATATTTCTTTGCCCATAGTGAACACACACAATCCTGTTAAATATTTACCGTTGTTTTTTATAGCACAAGAATTATTTACAGTGGTTTTATCATAATATACAAATAAAACTCGATGCTAAAATATTATGTTGTAACAACTTTGAAGTTACTGATCGCTAACTCAGACATATCGTAATATTATAACAAAATAAATTGTAATGTGAACATATATTGACACATATTTTTAAACATTATGTTACAGTAATACAAAAAGAGAAGATAGTAAGAATATATGTGTTTTTTTCTCGAAAGTGTGTGAATGTATTAAATTTAAAAGGAAACCAAAATATGAGAACACCGACGGATAAACTAGTCCGTGCACTAGGGATATACGCGTGTTTAGTAGCTCAGGGTGTGGGCGGTAGCTTGATCCAAATAAATCTTGTCAAAAAATAATAATATTATGTAACAGTGCCTCGGTGGGGATAGGATGGTGTGTTCTACTACAGAGGCCTGGTACAGGATATAGAAATAGCCCGCGTAAATCCCGAACTATTTTTAAATGTGTTTACCAGGTATTAGATAAGGGAGAAGGTAACAGTTCTCATATTGGTAGACTGAGAGGAGTGGTAAAACAACCCGGGATACGCCAATACTTATTCGTGCACACTGCAGGCATTCGATGTAATTTAACAAGAGGACGAAACTATCATAACACAAACAATATCATAAACAACACGTCAACAATTTTTAAAGACCTGTTTGTGTTTTTCATCAACCAGGATGTAAAAAGTTACCCCGATTTAAATATGCGAAACGTATCCATGCATGATATTTACCTTCAGGTGATAGATTAATCTCGAATAGCATAGTAAAAATTAATTTATACAGCATACAAATGTTTGTGGTTTTATAAACATTAAGTGAAAAAATTGGTACATACTGTACACATACAAAGTAATCTGTTACATTGTTATTTAATTGCAAATATTTAATAAAAATAAGTACGTAAAACCAAAACAATTTTTAGTTAAACAAGTACAATCTATTCATCTCAATGACAAGACACCAACAATATTTTAAGCTGTCTTTATAGGTTTAGAGTCTATAAGACGTCTATGAGTCCACCCATATCTGTTGGGCACCTGTCTAAAGTTACGGCAGTAAAGACGGTTGGGCATAGTGCTGACCACATTTTTCATACATTAAGGTGTCTGAAGCAGTTAAACTCTATTTAAACTACACCATGGGCAGTAACGTTAGAAATGGTACTTTCCATGCTAAGTTTATATTATACTTGCTTGTATAATTTTTTTTTGCATGTATTAACTATTTCCTATTGTATGCTATTTTATTCCAAACTTTAACTTTAAACTTATCCAAATGGCCGTCATTTATAAAATTTCAACGATCAACAATATGTTATCTTATTATTGATCCTTAACACGCCTTCACAAAAAAAAATACAAGAAAAAATAACAGTGATGGTAATGTAATACCATGCACATAATACGAATACATCACCATCTAGTACTATGCAAGCATCTGATTTATTTGCCTTAATGTTGGTTTTAAAGAAAAACATGTATAGCTTTGGTTGTCTTCTCCTCCTTACAGGAGCTAAAGAATGCTGTTGTTTAAAACTATAACATCTAAAACACTAATGAAATGTTAGCTTGAAAGATTGGCAAATGACTTCCTGTTGGCATCGTACGTTATTATTGTTTATACAAGGTTGTTACAAATTACACGATTAAACTGTGTTAAACTTTCAAAGGTTTTTGCTCAGCTTTGTTCATACAGTATTTTGAATACACAAAGCATTTAAAAACAATCCATTACACCTATGCAAAGCATCATATTAAATATTATACGTCCTAAAAGTCTTACATAACATGGGCAGTTCTAGTGTAAATAGATATGCATCATTAACTTTGTGTTTGGATTTCACAAACTATTTTTTTTTTAAATTCTGTAAAGCCAAATCTATTTCTGGTAGTGTTAGTGACAGGTGGTTGTTGTGATCGTGCTACGTGCTAACACGGACTTTCCCAGTTGTTGTGTGTTTCTATTGGGTAGAGCTTCTAAAACTATCACTACTAGAGTAGCCGACCTTTTTAGAGGTTTATCCAGTGTTTGGACAGCGGGTTATTGTTCAGTTAAACCCATTGTACGCAGTATAGAAACCTCTTGTTTCAAGTCGTAATCTAGGGTAGCCGTTCCCTAGGCTAGCCGTTCTCAGGGATAGCTTTTCTCTAGGATAGTTGTTCCCTAGTGTAGCCGTTCTCTAGGGTACCCGTTTTTATCATAACTGATTAAGTTGTATCAGGTATCAATGTTTATCGTCCTTGTTATTGTATAGTCAATTGAGATATCAATACCTTGTCCATGATGGTTGAACATCTTTCATTGATTAAAATCATTTTTCGCTTTGATGTTGATATAATTTATATGTAATGTATCGGTTACACAACTTGCTTCTGGTTGGCTGGAAGCTGTTGGTATTACGTGTAAGTTACGATCGTTGTTGTCTAAGCTACTATAATCGTGCTCAGCAGCAGTATTGAAATCTGTAAATCCATGGTACAATTTATTATAGTCATTGTCACTAAGTGTGAAAACATTAGCCAATGTTTCGACTGTGTCATTAGGTTTTATCCTGGATTGATCACCGGCGTTGTCTTTTGATAAAGCACTGTTTCCGTTATGATTTCTTGTTGTTGAATTTAGAACGGTTTGATTTTTTGCACACGTCTGTGTACGATCACCGCAGTAACAATGATGAGAATTAAACAAGCAACTCCTCCAATGCTTCCATAAATTATTGGCAGTTTGTTGTCTTCAGATTCAAGAGCAGATGAGTTGTTAATGGTCGTAGAAAATGTTGATTTTAAAATCGGTGACGTTGTATGTGGAGGGTTTGATGCAACTCCTCCAATGGTTCCAAGAACTATTGGCAGTTTGTTGTCTTCAGATTCCAGAGTAGATAAGATGTTAGTGGTCGTAGAAAATGTTGATTTTAAAATCTCAGATGTCGTAATTTTAGGGTTTGATAGTGTATTGTTTACATTTGTCT